AGCAGAAGAGTCCATTGGTGTCTTCCTACTATTTGCCACTTTGGTGCAGTGGTTAGGAGTGTGGACTCTAATCCGGGAGAGCTGGGTTTGATTCCCCACTCCTCCACTTGCACCTGGCTGGATGACCTTGGGCAAGCCATAACTTTGGCACAGCTGTCTTTGAAAAAGAGCAGTTTCTGTCAAGAGTTCTCTCAGCCCCACCCACCTCACAGGGTGTCCTGTTGTGGGGAGGGGAAGGGAAAGGAGTTTGTAAGCCGCTCTGAGACTCCCGAGTGAAGGGCAGAGTATAAATCCAATCTCCTCCTCCTCCTCCTTCATAGAGACTTTGAGCATAGAAGAAGAAGAAGAAAAGAGGTTGGATTTATACCCCGCCCTTCACTACCCAAAGGTGTCTCAGAGCGGCTTACAAACTCCTTTCCCTTCCCCTCCCCACAACAGGACACCCTGTGAGGTGGGTGGGGCTGAGAGAACTCTTGACAGAAACTGCTCTTTTTCAAAGACAGCTGTGCCAAAGTTATGGCTTGCCCAAGGTCATCCAGCCAGGTGCAAGGGGAGGAGTGGGGAATCAAACCCGGTTCTCCCAGATTAGAGTCCGCGGACTTAACCACTACACCAAACTGGCAAATGAGACTCCTTGAGCAGACAGCACAGCTGCTATTCATGCACCGGCTCCCCCAAAAGGATGCTCTGGCTTCAATCTGTTCACATCACACTCTGGCTCCGAATGCAGTGTGGAAGCTGGTTCCATGCTGCTTCTTTGCCCCTTCCCACATGGTGGAAGGTGTCGTTTTTTCCCCAAAGGCTGGTGGGTATCCCATTCCAGAAGCCAGCAGGAGAACATCTTTCCTTGAAACATCAGGCAGCCACCCTGGACTATAAGCGAGCTATCCAGCATCTGTGTAACAGTATGGGACTTCTTACATGGGGCCAAAACAAACTGGTCTTGCCTGTGAGGTTAACATGTTGTTGCCAAACTCTGGTGGCTCATTTATGCACACTTTTTGTCTGCCTCCATGGTTATCTGGATGCTGACTTTCTCTTGCACAGATCATCTGTCGTGTGACTGTCCCTGTGGTTAGGCTGATCAGAAGATATCGGGGAGTAGGAATAGGCATGGGCCGATAAAAAGAAAAGGTCTCTCTTTGCTGACAAATGTGTCGGATGGGACTGCAAGATTAGTAGCCAGAAGGGAACAATCTGAGTCCTCAGACCAGGAGTAGCAGCTCAAGCGTCACAAATCAGTATTATAGATAGATGCAAGGCAAGGGAAGGCTGCAATGAACTATCGCCACGGATTGTAAGCAGATGACTGAGTCAAGTCCAGAGCAGATCTGTGGATCATGTTAATTCTACGTAGGTTTGCCAGCTCCTCCCTGGTCACCAGCAGGGGGTGGGCAAGGTAGGGTTGCCAGATCCAGGTTGGGGAACGCCTGGAGATTTGAAGATGGCGCCTGGGGAGGGCAGTGGGGCACGATGCCCATAGAGTCCACCTCCAAAGCATCCATTTTCTCCAGGGGAACTGATCTCTGTATTCTGGTGATGAGCCGTAATTCTGGAGGATCCCCAGGTCCTGCCTGGAGGCTGGCATCCCATACACACCATAAAGGAGAAGAAGAAGAGTTTGGATTTATACCCCGCCCTTCACTACCCAAAGGTGTCTCAGAGCGGCTTACAAACTCCTTTCCCTTCCCCTCCCCACAACAGACACCCTGTGAGGTAGGTGGGGCTGAGAGAGCTCTGACAGAAACTGCTCTTTTTCAAGAACAGCTCTTATCAGAACTATGGCTTGCCCACGGGCATCCAGCCAGGTGCAAGTGGAGGAGTGGGGAATCAAACCCGGTTCTCCCAGATTAGAGTCCGCACACTTAACCACTACACCAAACTGGCTCTCTAAGGAGCTGCATCCAGTCCTGGTTCTTTGGTGTGTATTGTTTGTCTCATCTGTATGTTACATTTTTAGATGCATCACACATTTTTAAATTACATACACCTTAAAAACTTCATGTCTAGAGGCTTATTTACCCGTCACATACTGGCAACGTGAGGCTTGTCTTGGCAAGTCCATGTAACAGGGAGCCGCAGTTAATTGTGGGTACTTAATGACTTCAACCTGTTTTTGCAGATATATATGTATGCCTCCACAGTGCTCACACTTTTACATTTCTAAACTGCGTACTTAAAATACCTTTGGCCTGCACCTAAAAACAAACAGTGTGTGAATTGTCCCACAGTGTGACATTCTATTTAAACCCAACATTTCCCCTGTTAAAGAATTCCACTGTCATCGTAGCAGAGAAAGTGGTGATTGTAATATGGTGGACCAGACCAGAAATTTAGATTCCCACTTTCCCCCCTGTGAGCATTAAAACTGGGTGTTAATTTCAGGCAGGCATATGTGTGGTCTGTGGCTGTCAAGACTTCACAAACAGGGACCAGTCCTAAGCTCAGAGGTAATTCCCATTTCATTCAGTGAAGCTTTACTCCCAGGGAAGTGTCTTTAGGATTGCAGCCTTGATGGCAGGCACAGCCTTCCTTCAGCTACTGTGTTTCTGTGCTGGGGGGGGGGGGACAACCCCTGTTGAGTTTCTGCCTGTCACCTAGCTGTTTAAGTGTATTCTGGCCCAAGTAGGTCACTTCTCTCTTTTCATTTCTGTCTGGTCCGTAGACTTTTGGCTGGGTTTCCATCCAATAACATTTAGCACTTATGTAGCACTTTAGGGTAAACGAGACATTTCACATGTAATCTAATTGCAATCCATACAACCACCCAATAAAGAAGGCTGGTATTATTATTCCAGAGTTGCAGATGTGTGTGGGGGGGGTACCTGAGGATAAGTAAGGAACTTGTCTTAGTCACTGAGGCAAGATTTGAATGAGGACATTGTGGGGACTTGAGGCTTCTTGGTTATACCAGCTCTCCTACTAAACAGTAGCCCCTAGGGGAGCTCAGTCTCCTGTTATGGTGGGAAACTTCCTGGCAATCCCTCAAGTTACTCACTGGTTCCTCAAAAGCTTGCAGAGGAAAAACTGGTGGAAAAATCGGGCAGGAATGTGATGTCACTCCTGGCGAAAACCTGAAGGGAAGTCAATGTGGTATAGTGGTTAGAGTGTTGGACTGGGTCTGACTCCGCACCCTGCCATGGAAGCTCCCTGAGAGACCTTGGGCCAGTCACACACGCTCAGCCTCACCTACCTCACAGGGTTGTCGTGAGGTTAAAATGGAAGAGAGGAGAGTGATATAAATTGCCAGTTTGGTATTAGTGGTTAAGAGTGGCGGACTCTAATCTGGAGAACCAGGTTCGATTTCCTGCTCCTCCACATGAAGCCAGCTGGGTGACCTTGGATCAGTCACAGTTCTCTGAGAGCTCTCTCAGCCCCCACCCTACCTCACAGGTAGGTTGTGGGGAGAGGAAAGGAAGGAGATTGTATAAATCCAGCTCTTCTTCTCCTCCTCCTCCTCCTCCGTCATAGGGGAGAAAGAAAAAGATGCTGGTGTGCCTGTGCTCACGCCCTTCCCCAGATTTCTTCTGTGAGTGCCAGGTGGCAGCCGGGCATCCCTAATAGCAGTACTGATGCTGCAGAAAGAGCCAGGCAAGCAGGGTGACTCTTAGCTCCCAGAGAGGGACAGATGCCCCATGACGTGTTACTAATCTGAATCCCATCATTCAGTAGAAGTACTGCTGTGAGCATTATTCTGCAGGGTCATCCTTTGGGTATCCTGCTGGACTTCCTGTGCTCTGGTAATCTGACAAACAACCCCGGAATCACAGTGTGAAAGAACAAAAGCAAAACTATCCCTGCGAATAATGGCTATTAAGCTTTGCATTACAGTTACATTGCATACAGCCCTTACATTTTAAGTAGATAACAAAGAGAACACAGTCCTTTAATGAAGACTAAGAGAAGTCCCAGCCTTGTAGTATTTGTCAGAGCTGTTCTGCAGCACTATGAGGCTGGGATTTTTCTTAATTTTCATGACAGGATCACGTTAATTGTTGTAAAATTCCGGGGGGTAGCCGTGTTGGTCCAAAACAGCAGAACAGAGTTTGAGTCCAGAGTCACTTTTAAGAGCAACAAAGTTTTGTTCACGGTATAAACTTTTGTGTGCAAGGCACACTTCTTCAGGCAAATGGAATGAAATCTCCTCAGGTGTTACAGGAAACGGGGGGGCAGCCGTTAGGAGAGCCCCCCCCAGCCCAGATGCAGAGCTGAAATCGGATCAGGTGGCCGGTAAGATCAATGGATAGCATCAAATCAGCACGCAAATGCAAGCGTTAACAAAAAGTACTGATGGACTCTAGCTTCATTCTCACATCTTTTGGGTAACGCCTGCATTTGCGTGCTGATTTGCTGCTATCCATTGATCTTACCGGCCACCTGATCCGATTTCAGCTCTGCATCTGGGCTCTGAGTGGCCCCTCCTAACGGCTGCCCCCCACCGGTGTTCCCTCTCAGCTGAGTTAGTGTGAGCTAGCTCACAGTTTTTTAGCCTCCGGCTCACACATTTTTGTCTTAGCTCAGGGAAAAATGGCTCCAGAGCCAACTGATTTATGCAGTAGCCGAATCGCTCACTCACAGCTTTCATGCCAGTAGCTCACAAAGTAGAATTTTTGCTCACAAGACTCCACAGCTTAGAGGGAGCATTGGCTCCCACCCTCTTTTTTCCTGTAAGTAACCCTTGAGGAGATTTTATTCTATTTGTCTGAAGAAGTGTGCTTCGCACAGGAAAGCTTACACTTTGAATAAAACTTTGTTGGTCTTAAAGGTGCCACTGGACTCAGACTTTGTTAATTGTCGTGTCATCTTTGTTATCTACTTAACATGTAAGGACGATGCAACGTAACTGTAATGCAAAGCTCAATAGCCATTATTCAGAGGGATTGTTTAGCTTTTGCTCTGGTAGTCTGAGGCATCTGCAAGCAAAACTCTGGGGCTCATATGCTGAAAGGTCCGCCTTTCACGGCCCAGCTTCGCTCAAGTGTCGTTTTCTATCTTTGCAGGTGCCGGTGGGGAGATTCTCTTTACACCTTTGGGGCTGATCACAACAGTGAAAGCCCTCCCGCTCTAAGGTGCAGGCTGAGGATAAGGGAAGGGGCCTGAACAGCCCTCGGCAAACACATCCCTTCCCCACCGAGAGCCGCCATGGAGCAGATCAGCTCCTTTTTCCACTCCATTGGGACTTTCATCCGCTCCAAGCATCAGGAGGGCGTCTACAACACTGTCTGCCTGGCGGTGCTGATGGCCCTGCCCGTCCTCGTCCTTCTTGCCAGCCTCATCATCTGCTGCCATTGTTGTTGCTGCAGCCGGCGGCAGCAGCAGCGGCGAAAGGACAGCAGCAGTAGTGGTTCTTCCCATGGGAAGAAAAGGAGGAAGAAGAAAGAAGAAGATCTGTGGATCTCAGCCCAGCCCAAACTGCTCCTGCTGGAAAAGAGGCCATCCTTGCTGGTCTAGAGTGGAGGGAGGTCCACCAGAGCTGTACTCCTTCCCTCGGTTCGTAGGACTTTGGGACCACCCACGGCAACCATGAGAAGATGCCAGAACTGTCTCCCTGCCCTTTAAGGGTGACTTACAGGTTGTTTTTTTTCTAAAGGACTTTGGAATGAAGGAACTATGCAAAAACTGTCACTGAAATGCACTGGAGGGTCCCTAGCTGGGCACACGTTTACCGTCTCACTGCTCATGTGCTCCGGTGGCATGACGTGCTACAACCCATGCCAGCATCCAGACTAATCCAACATGACCCTGTCTGTAAGGCTTGTTTTCCTGTTATGACCGGGCATCTGTGCTGTTCTGCTTAAAGACCTAGATGCAAAGGAGAATATATTTTTTTCCAGCCGTCTTGCACTGACACCTTTTGTGTCCGCTGGCAAACACAATCACTGCCGCACAGACGTGTACATGTTAGCATGCACAGCCACCATTTGCATCCGGGTGCTAAATCGGATCTCGCACAGATGAACAAGGGGGGCTTTGTGGAGAGATAGGTCTTTTAACAGCCGCAACCACCACAGATAAATGGAAACTTCCCGGGTTCAGAGATAGGATAACTCTGAGCTCCAGTTGCAAGAAACTGGAGCCATTGCCCCCTTGTGGGCTTCCTGAGCACATGCAGCTGGTCACTGCTAAAGCAAAAACTCCCTCTTATTCTTATGTTTAAATGGCAAGAGCCTCCTTACTAGACCCCCCCCCCCCGGCAACAATCTGATGTTGCCAACCCGGAACAGGATATTTCCAGCAGACTCGGTCATCAGGGACTTTCTGTATCCTGCAGTTGCAGCTCAGAATTCACCAGAGTGAAACTCCAGCTTTGGTCGTTAAAAATGCTGTAGCCCTTGAGGCCGCCAGGCAATTTGTGATGAAATCTCAGCAGAAGGGGGGGGGGGGTTGAGCAGGATGCCTAGTGGTTAGAAGGCAGGAGGCTCTGGAGGTTTTGCCCGGCCCTTCCGCCCCCAGTGGCTACCGTACATAATTTGTCACCCCATATCAATTAAACATTTCTTTGCCGGAACAATTCTTCTTTCCCTTTCCCCTTTCCCCCCTTAAGGCCTTTCCAATCAAGGGGCACAGCTAAACATGCTTCCACCCCACTGCTGTGCAGCAGAAGGCACGCGGTTCCATCTTTCCCTTTGGAACCAAAAGGGCATAAAAGAGCGATGCTTCAGCTGCCCTGCACCTAGAACAGTCTTTACAGAGGGGTAATAAACAATATTTAGTTACCTCATCCAGTACCCAGATGGTCGCTCCTCCAGCTGCATCGTCTGCTTCCAGCACTCTTTTGCCAGCCTTCAGCCGCAATATTTAGTTGCTAGGAAAATCTAGTCTTTCTCCACAGTGACAGTTACAACCGTAACTACTGTGGTGTGGGTTCATAGCTGCGCCTATTGGCTGGTACCTGTGATGTCACTGTGATGAGAGGACAAGGCTGGCAAGTGGGTTAAGAAATCCCTGGAGGTTTGGGGGGTGGAGAATGGGGAGGGAGGGGCTTGGGAGTGGAGGGATCTCAAGAGTGGTATATTGCCATAGAGTCCCCCACCACCACCACCACCACCACCACCACCAAAGAAGCCATTTGCTCTAGCCGAGCTGATCTCTGTTGCCTGGAGGTCAGTTGGAATCCCAGGAGGTCTCCAGCCGCCAGCAGGAGGTTGGCTACTCCAGGAGGGGAAGAACGGCCTCTTTTCCTGCTTGCCTGACAGTATGAAACCCCTCCCCTTTCATTCTTCTTTTTCTTCTTTTTCTCCTCCTCCGTGTTTTTCTTTTTTCTTTTTTCACTTTGCTTCTGGGTACTCCCAGTTCTATTTCAGCCTTTACACCAAGCTTTCTTTCCTCCCTGCCCTTGAACCAGTTGCCCTCAACAACCCAAGGCCCGGAGAGTGCCTTCAACCCTCTCCCAACCCATCCCCAGTTCCGATATTCTGCAACTGAGGCTGACGTCATCTGCGCACCTTCATGGAAGCAAGTCCCACTGAAACCAGTGAGGCTCACCTTCCAGATGAGCAGGACTGGGCTAAGAAATTCATTTATATGCACCAGTATAGTGACCCTACAGCACGTGCCATCATGTTACATGTTCAGCAACTTGGGAGAAATTCCACTGTGGGGCTACTGGGCTGTCCCACACTACACAGTCATTTGTGTTGTTAGGCAGGCCGCATGCTGTCCTGTGCTGGGGCTTAGGCGGCGGTCCACGTGGCTGGCTTCTTTGTTTTACCAGCTTTTGTCCTGCACTTTGCTTTTCAGTCTATGTTACAGGATTGCTTTTTATTATTGCGCGGTTTATGCAAAAATGGGGGAGGGGGATTTTTATTTAAAAATAAATTTTTATTTTAATGAGCTCAGTCTGAATGGTCCTTGTGACTCAGCCTCGGCTGTTTATTTACTGGATGGTGTGTGTGGGGGAACCTTTTCTTCTGTTATTTCACTGATCACAATAACAATTTGCATATAAATAGGCCTTGGCCTGGATAGCCCAGGCAAGCCCGATCTTGTCAGATCTTGGAACCTAAGCAGGGCTGGCCCTGGCCAGTGATTGGATGGGCGACCTCCAAGGAATACCAGGGTCATGACACAGAGGCAGGCAATGGCCAACCACCTCTGAACATCCCTTGCCTTCAAGCCCCACTAGGGGTCACCAGAAGTCAGCCTGACTTGATGGCAAAAAAATTGCATATAAATGTGAATGAATAATTCACATGAAGTTTCATTATATTGAGTCCGTCTGTTGATCTGTCAAGGTCATTGTTGTCTGCTTTGACCGGTGTCAGCGGGAGATCTCTAGGGTCTCAGGTTGAGGTTTTTGATGCCACCTTAGCCATGCCACCTGATTCTTTTAACGGGAGATGTGGTATTGAACCTGGGTCTTTCTGTAAGCAAAGCAGATGTTCTACCATTGTTACTTAACTAAAATTGCACACACAAAAGGGATGCCTCATCTGATCTCTGCTACTCTATTAAGACCCATATTGGCGCCATATTACATGATGACATCCGTAATGTTCTACAGTATGTCAATTGCTGATTTTTTTGTGTGAAGTTATAAGAAGTCCTCCAGTGATGGGGGGAATGGTGCTAATGTTGTGACATGTAAAATCACACACCCTTCCATCCACACTGCATGCAAAGATGTGATCTTTCCCAAAAGATACAAAACCAGGTTTGGGAAAGAGCACATAAAGTGGACAATTAGGAAAATTTTGTGTGGATGCTCCAAAACTCCTGCTTCAGTTTAGACACAAAACCTCAATGTGGAAGCATCCTATGAGTCTTTAAGCTAATTTTGCTGTTCAGTTTGGGAGGTTCTACACACGGAAACAGTACAGTGGCTTAAATGGAGCAATATCGCTTTTGTACATCACATCAGAAGCTCCACTGTATGAATAGATAGCAGGTTCCTATCATCGCCGTTATAAAACCTATGCAGAGTGAACTGAATATACAAATCTAAGCCTTCAACAGTTTTTTTATTCTCTCACTGCTGATTCCCCCCATTGCATTCTGTAAATAATGCACCTTGCTAATCAATGTTTATTTCCGAAATATTTCAGATTCCACAAAAGAGGCAATCAGTACATCAACGCATTGTTCTAACAAGCATAGCGAATTAGTCCTACAGGTCACGAATCAAACCTGAGCATGTCACAAAAGTACAAAAGGCTGGTACTTGACTGCAGGGAGGGAGGAGAATGAACCACACCGCTGGACAACCTAAAACTGTCTTGCAACAAAATTACTGTGGGCATCTCACGTGATGAAGCAGTAATGAAAAACCTTTGAACCCAACAATTGGTGTCTCCACCAATTCTGGGGCAAATCTTGTTTCCCAGATACATTCCTGTTGGTGATAAGTGATTCTATGAGATGCTTAGCATATGAAGTGGTTTTTGTGGTTGGCACATAATCTGATAATCGTTTTCCAAAAAAGGAAAACAGATGCTGTCCCTGGCCATCCTGCAGCCTCTTGACTTGGCTAGATTTTAAACCAGTCCCCAAACACAAAATCTAAACCATATTAGTTGTTGTAGATTTTACGGGTTGTATGGCCGTAGTCTTGGCATTGTAGTACCTGATGTTTCGCTGGCGAAACGTCAGGTACTACAATACCAAGACCACGGCCATACAACCCGTAAAGTCTACAACAGCTAATGAACTCCGGCCGTGAAAGCCTTCGACGACATGTCTAAACCATATTTATTGGCCTCATGAAGTTGGGGCACGTTTTGGCACCCATAGGACAGATGAGACAACTGGCTCCAGCTGCGTTCTAGGTATAAAGGAACTGAGGTTTTATGGTGAAAAGCCTGACCTTCCACTCTCCATCTACATTCTGCTATTCAGAGTCCAGTTCTCAAGAGGAGAACTATGGACGTGATGCATTCCTGTGATAACCACTTACTTCTAGCCTTTTGTTAAGTCGAGCTGAAAAGGCCAAGTGGTCTGATTAGATCGTCCCAGAATTCTTTAAATTGCAGCTACCAGGGTGATTTGGGGCAGGGCCGCAGTGTGGAGACGGAGAGAGGTTAATTCTCCTGCCGCCGCCCCCCACCATGCAGTTTCGCTAGTCACACAGACCTATTATTTCTAGCCCTTTCAGGCTACAGGGAGGGAAGCACACAACTGTCACGTCATCTTTACAAAAAGAAGTCCTTGCATATAACCCTGCCCACCCCCAGAAGTTGAGGAGAAGGAGGGTGTAGCCTGTTTGGTTGGGGGGGGGGGTTTGGTCGTGATGTTGTGGATGCTGCCAGCTTTGTGTTTGCAAATGGTTCTGCTGCCCTGCAGGCTTGGAACCAGAGCCCGCAACAAACGGGACGAGAACAATAAAGTGTTTTTAATGAGGCTTGCCTGCTGGAGCTGCCCCTTAAATTTCAGGGGGTGGTTCTGTTCAAGCGGCCCATCAGGGCTGGAGGAGATGTCCCCCTCCCCTCCCCACTGCTGAATCTGAAGGGCCAAGCCAAGGGCGTGGGAGTGAAAAGAAAGCACAGACTGGGGTTAGGCAGAGAGGGGAACACACAGCCACTATTGGAGTGGGCTGACCCCCTGGTAAGTACTACTGGAGTGGCCTGACCCACTGGGTATCTGATGTAAGGGTGACGGATTGGCTGCCCTTTAGGAGTGCACTCTACCTGTATATGTGTACATTAAGCAAATATTACAAAACCATTGTAAGTTTCCGGTTCTCTCTTTTCTAAGGAGAACCAAACTGGAATGTCTCACTATTTTTTGGCTGGGAAATGCCTGGAAATTTTGGGAGCAGAGTTTAGGAGGTGGTGTTTGGGGAGGGGGAAGGACCTCAACAAGGTATAATGCCATAGAGGCCACTCTCCAAAGCAGCCTTTTCTCTCTCCAGGGGAACTGATCTCTGTGGTCTGGGAGCCATTGTAATTCCTGGAGGTCTCCAGGCCCCACCTGGAGGTTGGCAACCCCAACAAGCATGGCACGTGTAAAGGCCCTGTGACCCAGACCCATAGTCTGAAGTGAAAAGAGCCCAGAAACAGTTTGAGCCATCTCACTGAGGACTGTCTACACTTTGTGACCAGTGTTCCCTCTAAGCTGAATTAGTGTGAGCTAGTTTACAGGTTTTTTAGCCTCCAGCTCACACCTTCTTGTCTTAGCTCAGGAAGGGATGGCTCCGGAGCAAACGAATTCATGCAGTAGCCAAGTCGCTCGCTCACAACTTTAATGACAGTAGCTCAGAAAGTAGAATCTTTGCTCACAAAACTCCGCGGCTTAGAGGGAGCACTGTTTGTGACCACCGCAGAGACAATCTTGCAACAGAAAGGAAAGGGCAATAAACTTTCTTCCAGATGAAAGATTCATAATATAACAGTTCCATCTCTTTATTCTAAAACGTTAGCAAATTCCTCATGGAAACACAGCCTGACTGCACACAGGAACCCACGTCCGCTTTCCTGTACACACAAGGATCTTGTTGTACACACAGGAAGATTCCCCCCCCCTAATGTGACTGTGTCCCTCCCTCCTAAGATCTAAGGATCTGCAGTTTTCGGCTTTTTGGTCATGTGTAGGAAAATAGGCATGTTGAATTAGTGCCTTGGGTTTTGCGAAGCTGAGCACAGCAAACCTGAACACAGCCGACCAAAGAGGCCTTTGTCAAGTACTGCCAATGAAGAGAGTTAGAAGTCTGTCATCCATCCCTTGAGAGCGTTCTTCCTGCCCTCACCTAGCTGCAGGCTCCCAGAGAGGAGGAAGGAAGCCTTCGACGCCTGCTACCAGAGCCAAAGGAAAGGAGTTTAACACTGCTGCCTGGGAAAGTAAGGAAGAGAAAGAGCCACAGTGGCTGATTCGTTGTTTTCTCTGGCAAGGAAAAGCAAAGTTCTGCAGCGAGGACAACACGGACAGCAAAGGTCTCGCTCCTTGTTAAAAGCCTGGCATAGATTAAGGAGTGGAATGGGGCTCTCCAGCCACCGATGCTGGAGGCAGCTGGCAGAACAAAAGACAAATGGGAGCTTCGATAACACAGTAATATATGAACTGGCCCTTAGTTTTCCACCAGCCTCTTCTCTGAAATGTCGGTCAAGTCACATTGTGATCCCACCTAATTAAATGGGAAGGTTTCTTGGAGGAGGACGTAAGCCAGTTGCTTGTGGTTATAAATGCACCTGTTACATGCTAATGGGTTCCTGGGCTTGGATTCACAAGCACAGCATTTGCAGAAAACAAATCTCAACGCTCATCTCCTTCCTCTTCTCTGCCAGAGATCTCCTCCTCTGGCCCAGGATGGATCAAAGCTATTGTGACCGTGGACGTATCTTCATCTCAGTGCGAGGGATGGAGTATAAATGGCCTTTCCACGGCTCCCAGTTAACTCCCTGGAAAGAGTAAGTATCATCATCGTATGATGCAGCACAAAAGCGAGACCAGCTTCTCGAAACTACGGACAAAAATTCAAATCCTTGCTCGTCTTTATAATAAAACCATCTCGGGACGACCATGTACTTACTCAGAATTAACATGAAGGCGTATAAAAACTCTACGGATTGGGTCCAGTGCCAAAACCTTTTCATTTGATTTGATCCTCGCAGCCTGGATCCAGCAGAGTGACGCTCTTTAAACGAGCCTTGCTGTTGGGCTTAATTAGTCTTCTGGATTGAATGTTGCTGCCACAAGTTAATGAATTGGTCTTCCTTAATTGAACTGAATTTAATCTCGTTGATTGAATGTTGATGTTAGATGGAACGAATGGATTTCCCTTGATCAAATTTTTGCAGTGAGATCTAATGAATTTCTTCTCCTTAACTACACCTAGTAGTTAGACCTAATGAACTGACTCTCTTTGATTGAACTAGGCTGTTGGATCTAATGAATTGACTCGACTCGACTGAGCCCTGGGGTTAGATCCCACGAACTGACTCTCAGTGAAGAAGGCAAAAGCAGCTATGCTGGATCAGACCAATAGTCCACCTTATTCAATATCCTGAACAAGGTCACCATTATATCCTGTGACAGTGAATTCCACAAGTTCATTATTCTTCTGAGTGAAGAAGTAGTTCCTATTGTCTGTCCTGAATATACTGTCTATCAACTGTATTGGTTGCCTGCAAGTTCTAGTATTATGAAAGAGGGTATGGTCGCTGCTGGCCCTTCGGACATTGTGCAACAAAAGAAATGGCCCCTGTTAAAAATTAGCTGCAGGTGGATATTCAGTAAGTGAAGAATTCCCCAAACTTCTCTCCACCAATCATATTTCTGTGTATTCTACTACTATTAAAGGCACAGGAGGCAAACTGGAGCTTACTGAGTAGATTTCCAGTAAAAGGGGGAAAGTGCAACTTACTCAGAGTTTACACCTGCCCTTTAAAAAGTGCAACCTAACCATACCTTACACCTGCTCTTGACCTTATGGGATTTCTGGCCTACTGTATTAATCTCTTAGCCGATTTCCTAATTCTTCCTCATTCCTCCAGTGTTTTCATGGGGCACCCCAGGTTTACTGCTGATGGATTCAGAATGGAGTGGTCTGTATCCTACCACTCCACCCAGCAAAGTTTGAAGACTTCTTCCTCCAGCTTCTTAGGTGGGAAAAATTGCTTAAGAATAAAAGCCCTGCTGAATCAATCCAGCACCCCGTTTCACACAGAGGCCAACTGGTTGCCCTGGAGGGCCAACAAACAGGATATAGAGGCCAAGAACTTCCCCTAATGTTGCCTCCTAGCACTCATATTCAGAGGTTTACTGCTTCTGAATATGGAGGTTCTCTTTAATCTCCATAGCTAGTAGCTACTATGAGACATATCCTCCATGAATCTATTTCATCCTCATTTAAAGCCATCTGTGCTCATGGCCATCATTACATCCATTGGCAATGAATTCCATAATCAAGTCAAAAAGTATTCCCTTCTGTCTGCCCTGAATGAATTGCCCTTCAATTCCATTGGATGCCCTTGAGTTCTAGAATTTGGGGAGAGGGAGGGACGAGTTCTCTCTCTCCGCTTTCTCCACTCCAACCTCTGTCATGTCTCCCCTCTTAGCCATCTTTTCTCTAAACCAAAAAAACACCCCAAGCTCTGAGCCTCTCCTCGTACAGAAGATGCCCCAAGTCTTTTGATCACTGTGGTTGCCTTCATCTGCACTTTTTACAGCTCCACAATGAGAGCCAGTGTGGTGTAGTGGTTAGGGATATTGGAATAATATCTGGGAGACTAGTATCTGGGAGTTCGAATCCCCACTCGTGCCACGGAAGCTCACTGGGTGGCCTTGGGCCAGTCATACTCTCTCAGCCTAACCTACCTCACAGGGTCGTTGTTAAAATGGAGAGGGAGGAGAAAGGTTTAAGCTCTTTTGGGCCCTCATTGGGGAGAAAGGCGGGGTACAAATGAAGTACATAAAATATCCTTATTGAGATACGGCAACCAGAATGGTACAGGGGCCACACCACAGCTCTATAGGAAGACATTACAATAAGGTCTGCTCTGTTTTCAGTTCCTTTCCTAATAATCCCTAGAGCAGAATCTACCTTTTAGTCTTAACTAAAAATAATAACTCTATTTGTATAGCACTTTTGATGTTTGGGGTTCTCATTTAATTTTCTTTAATCTAAGGACATAACTGTAAATCTGCAAACCACCTAATGTTAATTTCCATTTTGCTATTATGCTATTATGGTTACCATGTTTTTCTTTACTTCCATTCACAAGGGTTATCTGTGTTCCCATTCATAATGGAGAGAGACCTAGTTTTTATATTTTTGAAGGGAGAGAAGTCACCGTCTCTCTTCCCAGTAGCCTTGGTGCAATCTGAAAACCTTCTCATGACTTAATTTTATTAATTTAATTCCTGCACTCCATCTGAAGACTCTTCCAATGTTGCAGACAGACAGGACTTTCCCTCATGCTCAGCATCATCTTTCTTCCCCACACCAGTCTTCCCCATGACCAATCTACAGTGTATCTTATCGCCGTATGTCAACTATAATCTGGTTGCCATGTGGGTATGACGACTCTGCAGGTGGAAGATAGCATTCCACCACTTTAGCAACTGGTAATGGGAAATCCTTATATAAATTCAGAGTAACAATTGGAAAGGATAGAAGGGTTCTATGTTATCCATTGCACAATTAAGGAGGTTCCAAACATCTGTGCAGTACTCAAGAACTGTCACCATACTCCGTTATGTTCTTGAGAAGTACTGTACCTTGTGCAAAAAAGAAACAAAGAACTGGACTCGCACAGAACCCTGGACTCACCTCGCTGTGATTGTCGTCTCCATATTTACCATTGAGGTTTGCCAAATGGCAGTTCTTGTACCACCAGCCCCCGTGGTGTGAGATTGCACAGTTGCTGATGGCAATGTCATTGTCTCGGTCCCAAGTGGTAAATTTCCTCTCATTGTGGTAAGTCATAGCATCCCCTAAATGAGGAAAGAAAAGGTTGTCGTTAGAAGTGTGGGGAGGCAGATAAGAGCAGATGCATACTCAGAAAGACAAAGAAACAAGCTCTATGGCCCAACTGCAGACAATTAAAAATGTTGTACAGGTGGCATTTACAAACACTTGGGTTAGCTCAATCTCATCAGATCTTGGAAGCTAAGCAGGGTCAGCCCTGGTTAGTAATTGGACGGGGGACCACCGAGGAAATCTAGGGTTGCTGTGCAGAGGCTGGCCATGGCAAACCACCTCTGAATGTCTCTTCCCTTGAAACACTATGGAATCATCTGTCAGTGGTGACTTGATGGGGGTAGGGAAAGGATGTATACTTGAACAAGGCATAGATGTTTAAGTAGATGTCGGGAACCTGATCCATTGTTGGAAGAGTTTCTTCGTTTCCGACAGAAAGAAATACTGGGGAACAAATAAAGCTAAACATAAGACGTGTTCCCACTGAGCCTAGCAATCCTTCTTAAAGTAATACCAGACAGATCAATTAACCAACATGCCCTGGACGCAGCACCCATACAAGTTCCTAGCACACTGCCTGCTTCCCACTGCTGAGTTGGAGTGGCAGCAGGACACAAGTGGCTCAGAGAAGCACCACAGGAGTCTCTTGCTGGCTGCGTGACTTCCATGCCCATAAGCTGAGTTGCTCCTAAGGAGGAATGGTGGGAGGGCAGCAGTGTTGAGGAAGTGCCAGGCCCCTGGCATGACCACCTGCTGCTGGACACTGCTGCCCCCTATCTGATGAGCGAACTTCTGTTCATCTGCATCTTTTTTTTAATATCAAATATTTATAGCCTGCCTTTCCCCAATGCCCAAGGCAACTTACAACAGACGAACATATACAATTAAAAACATAGCTGAAACACAACAATAAAATTGTGATTCTTGCAACAGATATTACCAGCAGCTGCCACTCAGAGACATTCACTAGCTACTTCCACTGAAGGGATACTGGAATAATTCAGCTTCGCACCTTTTACGGAAGAGAAAGAGAGAGTGCGCAAGCTTTTTTTTTTTTTCCCCTTCCTATACCATATCTGGCAGGCTGTTCCAAAATGCGGATGTGGCCACTGAAAAGAAGCATGAATGGGCACAGATGAGCAGACCTCCTGAATAGAGGGGACCATCAAAAGCAAAGTGATGAATGACCTTGGGTGGCATATGGGATCATCTGGGGAAAGGTGGTCCATTAGATATGTCGCAGGGCTCTTTTTGTAGAAAAGCCCAGCAGGAACTCATTAGCATAATAGGCCACACCCAACAGCAGAAACTCATTAGCCTATTAGGCCACACCCCTGACAGCACAGCTCATTAGCATATTAGGCCACACACCCATGTTACCAGAAGTGTGGTCATCCAGCCACGCCCACCTTTTGCTTCTTATTCTGTTGACCTTGTCAAAACCCTGGGCTTTTTTTGTAGCAGGAACCCCTTTGCATGTTAGGCCACACACCCCTAATTGTAGCCAATCCTAATGAGTTTCTGCTGTTGGGTGTGGCCTATTATGCTAATGAGTTCCTGCTGGGCGTGGCCAACTCGGGAGCCAGCCGGAACTCCGTTCCTGTGCGTTCCTGCCCCAAAATAGCCCTGGATATGTGGGGTCCAGGCAGTGAAAGTTAACCAGCAACACCCATTCCCCATAGATACCTGTTAACAAAGCTATAACTGTAGCTAGGCACAAGGCACTAGCAATACCTCTGTACTGGGATTCCCCCCCCCAAAAAAAATCCTACCTTTCATTTAGGGTTGCCAACTCTGGACTTGGAAATTTCTGGAGATCTGGAGGCAGAGTCTGAGAAGGGCTGGGTTTGTGGAGGGGAGGGACTTGTGCCACAGGGTACAGGGCCATGGAGGCCACCCTCCAAAAGCAGTCCTTTTCTCTAGGGGAACCGATCTCTGTCGTCTGGAGGTCAGTTGTAATCCCAAGCAGTGCTCCCTCTAAGCTGAGTCAGTGTGAACCGGCTCGCAGTTTTTTAGCCTCCGGCTCACACATTTTTGTCCTAGTTCAGGAAGGGAGGGCTCCAGAGCAAACTCATTCATGCAGTAGCCAAATCCCTCACTCACAACATTCATGCCAGTAGCTCACAAAGTAGAATTTTTGCTCACAAGACTCCATAGCTTAGAGGGAGCATTGATAATGATATTTAAAAAACTTAATTTGACACGATAGTCAAATCAGGCCTGCTCACAGCTTTAATGCGAACAGTTCTTTTGGCTCACGAATTAGAATCTTTGCTCACAAGTCTCTGCAGCTTACAGGGACCATTGATCCCAAGAGATATCCAGGGCTCACCTGGACGCTGGCAAACCTATTTTCCTTCCAGAATGATTTCTCCAAGGCAGCTTACACAGAATGATGGAGCTAAAAGCTATGGGTGTTCCCACCCCCTTCAACATAACATTCCACTGCATGAACATACCTTACTTTCTGTAGGAATTTGCCAGTCCGTGGGTTGAATCCCGCACAATAGTGCTTTCCTCTGGCCGAAGGAGCTTTCCCCTGACGCAAAAGGCTCTTTGAGCTTTGACTCAGAGAAAGGCTGCCTGCACCAGAAGAAAGCCCTTCCCTAGCAGAACCGTTCTACAGGTTCCAAACGCATCTCTCCATGCAGTCTGGTCAGCCTCCTGCAGTTTGAAGAAAAGAGAGCCCCTGCAATTCCTTCAACCCTGCTTCCCAGTGCAAAAACAATGGCCACATAACTTGACTTACCAGCAGTGCCTCCATAGTTTCCTATGGAGAGCCTGTACCTCTCCCTGCTCGAGCCCACCCGGAAGAGGTCATATTTGGCATAGGCAGAATCGTTGTGGGTTTGCAAATCCACCCTCAGCTCAAATGGAACAGGAGCAGTGCCAGTAAGTTCATGAAGGTTTTCCAGGCCTACAAGAAACAATCGAGAGTCACAATTACCAACAACCTCGCAAACACCCTGTGGTAAGTAAGACATGTGATCAAGAAGAGAAGTTTTTGTACAATGAACATAAGAAAAACCCTATTGGATCAGATACTTCTAGGGAGACCACAAGTAAGGACACAAAACCAAGAGCCTCCCCCCAATCCTGCGCAAAACACATGGGAATTCAGAGATATACTGTCTCTGATTCAGTCATCTAAGAGCCTAATCATAATTAGTTAACATATGGCAGTGTGTGTATTATAGCCAGGAGATCCTAAGATTGTCTGGCAGTCTTTAAAGTTCTAGGTCTTTTAACATTATGTACCACTAGGTGGCGAACTAAACTTGGTTTTTGGGCTGAGAGACCTCTGAAAGAGCTGTGACTGACCCAAGGTCACCCAGCTGGCTTCATGTGGAGGAAACTGGAGTTCGAACCCGGTTCTCCAGATTAGAGTCTGCCGTTCTTAAGTACTACACCACGCTGTACAAAGTATAATTTCTGCTCCAGCAAGCACTCCTCCCAATGCAAAATCTCTTGTTTCCTACTCTGGCAATTAAAAGCACCTTGCATCAAAGGTGTTGTGGGATTAGAGCAGGAAAGGGGCAAAGAAAATATCATCTGGGCCATATGTGGTCTACAGGCTGCAAGTTGGCTATCGCTATAGAAAAGCACACTCCCAGTTCATGTAGAGGCCTCGCTTGAAGGGTCAAATTAGCAGGGAGCTCCAAGTCTATTCCCTTCCTAAATAACAGGTGTATGGGGCCTCAGTTTTGATGGGGGACTGCAGCATGGGGGACTGTTAACTCTTCTCCCTCCACCCCATTTTCCCAAATCAAAATTGGGAAACCCAAAATTGGGTCTAAGGAATCCCCTTGCCAGTACGAAGATCCCAACATTGTTGGATGTGTGGAAAGCCTCGACTTTTTAAATACACTGAAACCTGTACCGCTATTGGTTAAGAAACATAATGAGGCCAAAGGGCCTCCCTGCTGCCTGATCTAATGAACCCCTCTTGTCAGGGGGAGGAGGTTCCAATTCTGATTGCAGTCCAGGGGGCAGCTAAATCCTCAGATATCCCCTTCAGTCTATGTGCCTGGAGACATAGATCTCGACATCTCCTTGGTGGATGACCTAATAAAAACTCTTCCAAATTTCCCAAAAGAGGTTCAAGGTGCGACAGTCAACAGACTGGAGACAGTGCGAACAAAGCTACTGACACGAGGGAATTGATACTAGGAAACAAGAGGTGACTGCAAACAGCTTGGAGGCTGCCAAAATAAGTCCTTATGAAAACAGCCCAGACATGTCTCACCATAACTCTCCTACTCCTCAACTGATTGGTTTAACGTCTACTACAGAAGTCCAACCTGAACTCAAGGGAAACTCAGAGACGTTAGTACAAGCTGAAATCCATATGCCCTCAATAACGGCTAAGAATCTCCCTCAGAGCAGTAAGGATGAGATTGTGTGGCCAAGCACAACCAAATAATTAAGAACATATCAAGAGGTATGGGCAATGGGTCTATATTTTATGACACCAACAGTACCCTTGAACAACTAACCAAAGGAGACTGACTCATAACTTCTTCTACACCATCACCATCTAAATTCCCTACCACCTTGAATATTAAGATCATCTTTTGGAATGTGGCTGGCTGGCGAAATAAGGCCAAGGACGTTGAATTTATTAGCTACCTCAAGCAGTTTGATGTCATACTAGTTCAAGAAACTTGGTCTCCATGCCAGATTCAGATTGAAGGGTATAAGTCCTATACCCTTCCTGCCTTCAGAAGTAATACAAGGGGTTGCTTCCAAGCAGGATTGTCTATTTTTGTCTCCTCATATCTCTTCTAGGAATACATCACTTTAAAAGGGTGAGTAGGTAAAAACAGGGATGGGCACCTAAAAAAACAATCAGTATTTTCCAGAGATGTATATTGGGGGGCTGGAAAATAATGATATTCCTAATTATTGGGCTTCACAATACTGTTGTGGTCTTTGGATCTGTGTTGGGGGCTGGTCCTATATTATTTGGCTCCATTATTCTCTATGGGAAATCTTCTGGAGGAATGGAGGGGCCATTTTTTTTTAGCAAATCACACCAAAATTATATTGGAACTGCTGGTGCATGCCCTTTACGTAACCCCCAAATTTCAAGTGAATTGTACCAAAAGGTCCAGTTCTATGGGCCCTGAACAAGGTGCCCTCAGCAGTCCAAAGATTCCATGCTTCTTCCAGGGCAAATAGCCAAAGACACAAGAGTAAGCAAAGCAACCCCTGATCAAAAACCTCTCAGAGCAGAAAGAACCAACAAACCCAAAGAATCAATGCAGAACCACCCAATGTGGCAAGTCTAACACAGCAAATTTACAACCTGAGAATCCAACCCAATGTCAAATGAGACAATCCAAACGAGACAATCCAAACCAAACAGGGCTTCTGCTGCAAGCCCAACAAATGTAAATTCAGAGACTCTGAGCCAATGTACAATCTGAGAACTGAAGGCAATGTCAAACCTAAGAATCCACCTCAAAAAGCAAATCCAGGCACAAAGCAACTTGTTCAAAGAATACAATGATGCAAGACCAACAAAGCCAATATGGACCCTGGTCACATGTAAGGGTTTAGGCCGGGAGAGGGACGGATCGGGGATGCAGCAAACAGGTGTGATCGCACCGCAACATCTGGGAAGTGGCACGCACCCGTCCCCGATCCGGCCCTTCACACCGAAAACCTGCTGCAAAAAAGAACCACCCCTAGAGGTGGACTTACCAGAAAGGCTGCGGCAAGCGCGGCCGTGGGATCGCCGGCGCGTCCTTCTGCTGGCACATCCGAGGCTCCTGGATGAACTGTGCATGCTTACACATGTGCAGTTCGGCAGCCTCCCTTTCTGTTTCGTGGCTTTCTCTCCGGCATCTGATCGTGCCGGGGAGCAAGTGCAAGCCGCACTTTGCCCACGCATTCCCCCCCCCCGGTGTGGCAGGGACCTTAAAAGAACATAATCAAAGCCAAACCAGCATGGCAACCTCATACCAAGCCCTGGGAAGACACAGACACACCAGACAAATAAAGAAAACACAGTCCTGTGAGCCTTAGAACACTGGCTCCTGCTATTTCTGGCTATTCCTGAAAATTTCTGGGATTTTTTAGGACCAATTTCCCTGTATCCCAAAAAATCCTAGATACTATCTGGAGACCCAAATATTAAGGTATTTTTCAGATATGTGTATTTGGACTGGATATATCCAAATGCACATCCCTAATTGGAGATCTGTGTCCCTGCTGTCCAAAGCTGGAGGAGCAGGAAGCGAAACCATCAACTGAATAACTATTTGGAAGGCAAGAAAGCAGCTATCAGACCATCTGCTCAGAAGCACATGTGCAGAGATATATCACCTGCTGTTAAAATGACACAGATATATTTCCATGTACTCACACACACATTGACTGCGTTCAGACTGGCAGTTTGGCCCGACAGCCAAACATTTCAGGAGCGTTTCACTAGCCGATTAAAGGGGCGGGTTCACACAAGCACAGCTGTCCTGCGTCCCCCAGCTGTACTCAGGCCATCTTGTACCACTTCCCTCCTGTTGTGTCCACTGACCGCCACCGGAGGTCAGGGCATATACCCGAGCTTCAGTCTGGGAAGACAATGGGGACTAGGATCCTAGTCCCTCCACTGGGGAACCAATGGGAGCCATGGCGGGAGATTCAAACCCACCAATGGTGACCAAGGGGTGGTCCCCAGGTGTGTATATAGTTGGCCTGCCGGCCGTTTGTCTTTGTCTTGTTGTGTGCCTAATAAAGCGTGCTATGCACCATGTCGTTGTCTGTCGTCGATCCATGCGGCTCCCACTACACAATACTCAAACAGCTTGGAGGCTGCCAAAATAAGTCTTTATGAAAACAGCCCAGACATGTCTCACCATAACTCTCCTTCTCCTCAACTGATCGGTTTAACTTCTACTACAGAAGTCCAACCTAAACTCAAGGGAAACTCAGAGACATTGATACAAGCTGAAATCCATATGCCCTCAATAACGGCTGAGAATCTCCCTCAGAGCAGTAAGGAAGAGATTGTGTGGCTAGGCACAAGCCAAATAATTAAGAACATATCAAGAGGTATGGGCAATGGGTCTATATTTTATGACACCAACAGTACCCTTGAACAACTAACCAAAGGAGACTGATTTATAACTTCTTCTACACCATAGCCATCTAAATTCCCTACCACCTTGGATATTAAGATAATCTCTTGGAATGTGACCAGCTGGCGAAATAAGGCCAAGGACATTGAATTTATTAGCTACCTCAAGCAGTTTGATGTCATACTAGTCCAAGAAACTTGGTCTCCATGCCAGATTCAGATTGAAGAGTATAAATCCTATACCCTTCCTGCCTTCAGAAGTAATACAAAGGGTCGCTTCCAAGCAGGATTGTCTATTTTTGTCTCCTCATACCTCTTCTCGGAATACATCACTCTAAAGGTGACTAGTCCTATGGCACAGGCCATCAAGCTTGTCCTTGGTAAATCTTCTCCAATTATTATGAATATATATGTACCATCCTCTTTAGACAATTTAACTCTTTTTCAGTGTTGGGGACACTTGGCCACAATTATGGAGGATTAGAGAGGAAATTTCCATCCATGGAAATAATTTTAGTGGGTGATTTTAACGCTAGAGCAGGAAGGGATTGCAGCATATTTCTTAAAGCTCTTGATGTCAATCAAGACAATACCCTTCCACCTACTTTTTCCTATCCAAGACATTCTAAAGACAGCTTTTTAAACCCAGCAGTTATATGTCTTGCCAGATTCTGCATGCAGTTTAACAGATTCTGGCTAAATGGTCTGATTGGCTTCCCAAACTCTGGAGAATTTACTTTTGTCTCCCCGAGGGGCTGTAGTGTAATCGATTATGTTTTAATTTCTCCCTCATTGAAACCGCATGTCAAAGATTTTACAAAAGATTATTTTATTATTAGTGATCATTCCCCTCTCATTTTAACTCTATAAGTTGGCCCTCATACTTTACTTCATTTAACCTGATCTCACAACTCTCTGAGACTGATTTACTACTTAAAATCCCTTGGAATGATCGTATAGCAGGGAAAACTCAACAACGTTTTACATCTAGCCTTCTTCTGGAGTATAGATCTTCTCTAATCCCATAGCAACTGTAACAGCTTATAACACTCTAATACTTCATATATCTGAGTCACTGTGTGTAAAATCTGACACCTTAAACAAAAGAAATAATAATTTTGCAAACCCTGTAAATCCTTGGTTTGATAGGGAATGCAGAGAAGTAAAAACCTTGCTATGTAGCGTTTATTGTCACTATTGTCACTATTGTTTATTGTCACCAGAATACCTTAAGCTTAGGAACCAGCTTCAGCAGCTCATTAAAAAAAAGAGGAATGATTATACCAATAGCCAATGGGAACAATTATACTATGCCGCAACTTTAAATAATTCAAAGAAATTCTGGGCTATAGTCTCGGGTGCATTTCGTGCTGAGGATCCCTCCATGTCTGCCATCTCCTCGTATGTTTGGTACCAGTATTTTTCAACTCTGTTCCACCAAGAGTGAACCTATGCTAGTGACTCACTAGAGTTTGACCTAGAGGACCTACCTGACTGACCACCTGTGTAATGAAATGGATCAAATTGATCGAAATTTTGATTGAAAAATTGATCAAAATTGATCGAAAAATTGATCAAAAAAATTGAAATCAGGGAAAGCACCTGGCCCAGACATAATGCCTTCTGAGATTCTAAAATCAGATCCGCATTGGTGGGCCGCTCCTCTTTATAATGATAGATAGAACTGGCCTTATTCCTAATGCATGGCTGAATGCAATAGCGGTCCCGATATATAAAAAAGGCGATCATACTATTCCTGCCAATTATAAGCCAATCAGTTTACTTTCTACAAAGGGCAAGTTGTATACTAAACATTTATTAGCCAAACTTTCTCTCTGGATGTCACAGCAAAAGTTTTGGGTCCAGAACAGTTATGTATTTGCAAAGGGAAAACCACCTTAGATCATTGTACTATTCTATCTCATTTGATCAATAAGTATGTTATTCAAAATAACTCAAAATTATTTGTGGCTTTCCTAGATTTGAAGGGAGCTTTTGACTCAATTAATAGGGAACTTCTTTGGGTTAAATTAAATCAACTAAATATGGACAAAAGACTTCTTATGCTTATCAAGAAGATATATACCTCCAACACTTGTCAAATCAAATGCTCATTAGCAGGCAAATTAACCCCAAAAATCCCTACTACTATGGGAGTCAAACAGCATTGCATTCTAGCTCCCTTTTTATTTAATCTTTTTCTCAGTGACCTTGCCCCTCACTTGTCAGGAGTTGATTATCATAACCCCAAACTTTACACATACCCCTACGTATGCTGACGATACAGTATTATTGTCCCATTTCAGAGTTGGCTTAAAACACTTACTGTACGGCATCCCGATATGGATCAGAGCTCATGACAGTGCCACCGATTGTGTCCAGTCCAAATTCCTACGTAAAGTTTTGGGCTTGCCAAAGTGTGTCCCATATGCAGTTCTTTGCTTAGAAACAGGTCTGAATCTAGTCAAAACCAGAGCATGGCTTATGACATTTAAAAATTGGCTAAGTCTACATTATAATTCTGACCCAGGGAGCCTCATATACCAAATGCTCTCAGCGTCTAACGTGTCAAATTGGCTAACATATATTGAGAAAAAAATTAAGGCCATGGGTATATTTTTTGATTCACTGACTATGCTCCCATCAGCGGGTGCATTCCAGTTGATCAAACAGAGGATGCTGGATATTGAGCGTCAGGAGTTACATAGTCTCGCCAATAAAACCTGCTCTCCTCTGAGCTTTGAGATACCCCTCACTGTAGGTAGGTAGGATGGCTTCATATTTATCCTCCCTACAAGCGCCACAACTACGCAGAGCTTTCTCTTTAGCCAGATGCAATGCCATGCCATCTGCCATTCTATATGGCAGATTCAATAAGACAGCATATGCGGCTAGACATTGTCCTTGTGGATCTGGATGTGTTGAGACGGACTTACATGTTTTGTTGCGATGTCACTTTTATGTAAATATACGCTCTAAATATCTAAACTCTATATTGGCCAACATGATGGGTTTTTCAGATTCCCATAAAGTTTTACAAACTTTTGAATGATTCCTCTGTTGACGTAACTGAGAAAGTGGCTAAATTCCTTCAATCCGCCATGCTGCTATGCCAAGGAAAAGTACAGTTGTAACCTATTATTTTATTCAATGTATTTGTAATACAGTGTCCTACTTGTATACTTTGTTCTACTGATATATGCCAATAAAGGCTGTCTTGACTTGACTTGACTTAAATAAATGAAGCCTTGGTAAGCCTTTCATTGGCCTCGAAGAAAGGGCTGGGGGAGTCTGCATAAGATCGTCATGGCTACTGCACCATGGATCTCAGGTGCTGTTCCCGGTAGGGCATTGACTGTGCTGACCAGAAGAACTGGATCAGCAACCAAACCAAAGCCTCCTCACCCTTCCCAAATCCCCTGAAGATACAGTACCAAGCCAAAATTCCCCTCTAGGATCTCCAAAGCCTTCGGCATAGTTCCTCCAGCGTTTAAAGAAATCCAGCTGCCCCGTGTTTCGCCGCTGAAACACCTGCAGAAGTAAAGCAGAAGCCAAACGTTCATTCATTGATTTCTAAATGCTGTATATTAACACTAGGATAAGATAAGAAGGTTCAGGAGCCATACAGTAAACTATCTAAACTACAAGGTCCAAAGTAAGCTTACAATAATTTCTAGGGATATCTGCACAATCAGGGGTCATTTCGTAAAAAAAGATGTGCAGAAGATCATTAGCATAACTCATTAGCATAACTTATTTGCATATGCCACACCACCTGACATCACCGGAAGTGTGTCAGAAGGCAACACCCACCGCTCAGGTTGCACTGGACGGTTTTGGATTGCTAGCTATTGGGGGGGGGGAATGTGCAGATCTGTCCTCACAGAGGAGGGAGAGCTTGTACCTGAATAAAACTTGGTCTTAAAGGTACCACTGGACTGTTTTGGACCAGGGGGGGTGGGGGGAGCTCTGCAACTTACCTGGCTGCTTCTTGCTCTGACTGAGGGCTGCTGGGAGCAGGGGGTGGGGCTTGTTGTATGTTCCCGCCCCCTGGGCTCTTTACTGCTGGAGCTCCGCTCCTGTGCGAAATGACCCCTGTGCACAATTCTCCCCACTGTATCATGATAAATGGAAACTATGTTAACAGGAACTGAGTTCCTAGGGGGAAGAGTTCTAAGGGAACGGAGCTCCACTTATCTGGGCATACACTGGGCAGTTCAATAAAGCCTTTATTAAGAGCACAACTGTTGGGGCCCTCTCATTATTATAACCTGACCATCTCCATGCATTCTGAGATTCTGAATAACCTGATTTTATTTTCAGAGCAGTACCAATTCACCATTTTTCATTTCCAGATTTGGTTCAGACCACTGAACTTGGGCAGCTTACTGCAGTTTCCCACTAACTTCTCCCCCCCGCCCCTCGCCCAATGCACATCATGTCCAAGATTTCTTCTCCTTTTTGCACTGTGCTTTAGTGGTGGCTCAAGTGGTTAAGACGCTGAACTGCAGGCTGTGGAAGATCAGTAGTTCAGCAGTTCGAGACCCAGGTTGCCACATGACGGAGTGAGCTCCTGTCTCTAGTTCCAGCTCCTGCCAACCTAGCAGTTCGAAAGCAAGAAATTGCAAGTAGATAAATAGGTACCACTTCGGTGGGAAGGTAACAGCGTTCCGTGCGCCTTGTTGTTTAGTCATGCCGGCCACATGACCACGGAAACGTCTTCGGACAGCGCTGGCTCTTCGGCTTTGAAATGGAGATGAGCACCGCAACCCTAGAGTCGGATTCGACTGGCTTTTGAGCAAGGGAACCTTTACCTTTTACTTTAGCATGTATATACATTCGTGCACATTGGTAAAGGAAGGGGAGAGAAAGACTGCTGAGGGCCCTGTTCGCACTGACCTTGCCTGCGCTGCCATGTGCCTGCTGATGGCTACCAATTCCCAAGACACTGAAAGATGAGGGCTTTGTGCCTTGAGCTGCAGCACATCCTCCATCTACCTCCATGCTTTAGAGCGGAGACAAACGTGATGGATCTGGTGCACTTGGGTCCCTTTGGCACCTGGGGATCCCTCAGAATTACAGCTCCTCTCCAGGCTACAGATATCAGATCCCCTGGAGGAAACGGATGCTTTGGAGGGTGGAGTCTCTGGCACTGTACCCCACTGGGGTCCCTCCCTGCCCTCCCCAGGCTCCATCCCCAGATGCCCAAGAGTTTCCTAAACTGAGACCGATTTCCCACTAGCTGCTGCTCCGTCCTCGCTCTTCCTCCTCCCCCACCATGATTCTACATGTCAATTTCCCACCACTTGCTGTGCGGCCGCATTTTGCTCCGCAGCTTCCCCCGATTTCCCCCGCCTCTTCTCGATCCTGTTTTTTGAGGATCGAGAAGACGCGGGAGAAATTGGGTGAAGCTGCGGGCAAAATGCGGCCGCACAGCAAGTGGTGGGAAATTGACACGTAGAATGGGGGGGGGGAGGGGGGAGCCCCCCCCCAGATTCTACGTGTCAATTCCCCACCACTTGCTGCGCGGCCGCATTTTGCTCCGCGGCTTTACCCGATTTCCCCCGCCTCTTCTTGATCCTGTTTTTTTGAGGATCGAGGAGACACGGGAGAAATTGGGTGAAGCTGCGGGCAAAATGCGGCCGCACAGCAAGTGGTGGGAAATTGACACGTAGAATGGGGGGGGGGAAGAGTGAGGACCAATGCTCCCTTCTAAGCTATGGAGTCTCAGGGGCGAAAATTCTACTTAGTCTGCTCTGCGGCTGTCCTTCCTGAGCTAACACAAAAATGTGTGAGCTGGAGGCTAGAAAACTGTGAGCTAGCTCACACTAACTCAGCTTAGAGGGAACAGTGGTGAGGACGGAGCAGCAGCTAGTGGGAAATCGGTCTGAATCTGGCAACCCAAACCCCCCCTCCCCCGTCGGTAGCCAGGACGGAGATCTGGCAACCCGAACTGTAGCTTATTGCTGACGCAGGGAAACAAAGAAAATAGGACAGACCCACAATGGGGAATTCTTTGGACAGGGACAGAAAAGGGAGTAGTGAAGGAGCAGAGTCCCCCCCCTCCAGCAACACTCACTATCCATCCACCGCCATCAGTGGTCATGTCGCAGTATACTTGGAAGGGCCTGTTGAGGTCACCGTTGAGATAGATGGTGTAGATGCCATTTGTGGAATGCCCATTTTGCTGGGTCTGGCTGCAGTCGGCAGGGTAGGGATAGAGTAAACTGACTGCAGGGACAAAGCAGGGGAGGGGAGCACATTAGTTAAGTTTGACACAGAAAGACAGAATGCCCAAAGGCTGCTCAGTTGTCAACCAAGAGCAGAGTTAATAAAGGGAGACTCGGGCAAAATTGCTGAAATAATAATTCAGCAATAATTGCTGAAATAACAGAATGCTTCCAAACTATGTTATGTTAGGGCTAAATGCTATCATACAGCTGGGAGGCAGACAGAAAATGGTCAGTAACGTGTCATTTTAGTCATTGTAATCTGGAAGAACTTTATCTGAATCATTTGAGTGCTTTTTGTGGGTCTTTGAAGTACAGCTAGACGGTGTGTCAGCTATGCTGCCATAGGGGTTGGGGTGGTCAGTCAGTGTCAGCTTAATTGCTACTGCATTCCTTTCTGTGCTTCTCACTGAAACGCTTATCTTTAAAGATGTGCAGGTGGGAGTTGTGTTGTCTGCTTTTCCCAGGGAGCCGTGGGAGATCGCGTGTTCCCAGCTTCGGCTAGCTAACGGCTTGCAAGCTTCATCCCGCACACGGGAGGGTGGCAAATTGGCCAGCACAGTGGGGGGGGTGCATACGAATACCCTATATCCTATTAGGTCCAAGGGGCAACTGCCATTCTTAACATATGCTTATGTTACTGCATCTATAGCTCTTCAATAAAGTATTACCCTTCCTGGAAAGTGTGTACTACGTTGCTGGCTGTGGGTTCTGACACAGTGGTCCAAGAAAGCCAAAGTGGGTCGACCACACCAACGCCCTTCATTCTCTCTGAGACACAGACTAGAAGTAAGGGCATTCATGCCCATTAATGCCACTCTCAGCTCACACACTCTGCCCATAGATGCATCATGCCAACTGGGCCAGAATATTATTGAATGTCCCATCCTGTTGATCGTATTGACTCACTTTGTTTAATCTGCCTTGAGTCCCAGTGAGAAAGACAGGCAATAAATAATGTAAATAAAAATAAGTAAATAAATAGTTGTGAGCACAAGCACCAGTAGACCTGCCATTTCTCCCTGCCGGTGAACAATTCCTCACCTCTGCCCTAGTCCTCCACTCCAGATAATATGAAGAACAAGAGGGGGGAAAGAGAGAGTGGCAGCAATGGTGACACTCTAGGAATTTACGCTGGTCTCTATCTCTATTTACCATGGAGATTGGGGGATTTCTTAGACCATCACCAAGAAATGATGTCACTTCCTCCTGAACCTCCACCAGTTTGGTGTAGTGGTTAGGAGCGTGAACTCTAATCTGGGAGAACCAGGTTTGGTTCCCTACACCTTCACATGCAGCTACTGGTGTGACCTGGGGTCAGTCACAAGTTCTCTCAGAACTGTTCTCTCATGAGCAGTCCTCGAAAGAGCTCTCTCAGCCCAACCTACCTCACAGGGTATCTGTTGTGGAGTGGGGAAGGAAAAAGGACTGTAAGCCACCCTGAGATGCCTTTGGGTAGTGAAGGGCAGGGTATAAATCCAGTCTCTTCTCTTGTCTCTTCTTTACCCCAGCCACTGCTGCTAAAAACTTCCAGCACTAGGCTGGGAACCCTAGCACCAAACACTGAAAATCGTATTGCAATGATGAAGGCTTACCTGTGGAAAAGGTAATGGCTGCTTTTCTGCTCCAGCGGTCTCCCTTAAAGGCCATGATATAGATGGTATATTTAGTGCCCCGACTAAGGCCTTCTAACACAAACTTTCGTTCATTGGGACCTAGTCGGACTTCCTGTAACACAGGCACAAAAAGAGAGGCTAAAAACACATCCCACTGAAAATTCCACTCCAGCCACTCTTGTCTTCACATCCGTTCTTCAGTGATTTGCCCCCCGTGAGGCAGGCAGTAGTTTTTCAGAGTCCCTTCCTGAAAATAGTGGCTGTGGCATGGGTACATGCCCCACACTTTCCACAATGAGCATAGATGCAAAGAATTCCTTTAGCTTCTATACCATCTCGTCAGTTTCCTTTAGTAATCCTTTTATTTCTTGGTCATCCAAATGCCCAGCTGCCTCTCTGGGCGGTTTCCTGCTCTGGCTATGTTTAAAGAAATGGTTATTGTTTATCTTGATACTTTTAGCAATCTGCTTCTTAAACGAAATTATTAACTTACACTTCTTTTGCCAGACCTTGTGCTCCCTTTTGTACACTTCATTGGGGCAGACCTTTCACTTTTTCAAAGAAGCCTTTCTGTCTTTTATGGCTTCCTTGACTTGGGTAGTTCACCATGCAGACATCTTTTTTAGACTTGGCCATACCTTTCCTCACTTGGGGAATGCATTCTATCCGGGCTTCAATTAGTGTGGTTTTAAATAACTTCCAAGTATCCTCTAGGTATTGGGCTTTCTTGAATCTCCCTTTCAGCACTGTCACCGTTGTTCCCAGCTGATGCAACATCTGCATCTTGCACCGGGCCGTGAGCCCCACTCAGAACCAAGGTCCAAGATCACTACCCCTCTGTTTGGCTCTGTCGGCAACTGGTCCAGTGCACAGTCTTTTATGTCTAGGAACCTCATTTCTGCAGCATGATTTGACCATATGTTTACCAAGTCAAGGCGAGGGCTGTTGAAGTCACCCAGTATCACATCATCTACTTTAGCCACTTCCCTTGCTGCCTTCTCTCTCCCAAAATCAGCCTCAGGGGTTTGATCAGGTGGGCAATAGTGCACCCCCACTTTTAGGGGAATAGTACACTCCTCTAAGTGACAGCCCTTCAAATACGTAGAGCAATCATGTCCCCCCTCAACCTCCTCTTCGCCACAGTGCACATTCCCAAGTTCCTCAGCCTTCCTTGTAAGTATCTCAACCCATAACTATTTTGTTGGGGAGTTCAGTCCCCTGTTGCTCTCACACAGCAATTCCCTGGCTTACCCTGATGGTTCCATCTGGCTCTTGATAAGTGAGGAGATATCCATTAATCTGAGCATCAGGCGGCATCCATGTCACCACTGCACTAGATTGCGTTACATCTGATACGCGGACATTCTTTGGAGGGTCAATTTCTGGAACAAATAAAAACGAAACCCAAGTGAATCTCTCATCATGACATAATTTCTTACACGCCCAGGGAAAACGCTGATCACCACTTCAGGGTCAGGAAGCAATTTTTCTCCAGGCCAGTTTGGCCGGGGATCCTGGAAGTTTTTTGTCATCTTCTGGGCATGGAGCAGGGGGCATGGGGGGGGGGAGGTATTTGTAAATTTCCTGCATTGTGCAGGTGGTTGGACTAGATGACCCTGGAGATCCCTTCCAACTCTATGATTCTATGATTCTATAAGTGGTACACTTTATTGTGAGAACCTGCACACAGAGGAGTTACATCCTTTCTAAGAACTGTTGTTATGGTCTGCTTCTAGCTTGAGGTCTGTTTTTCAAATATCAGCGTGGATCCAACCATTTTCTGATGGAAGAATCATTTAATTTGGAGGAAGTCTCCTCAGATTGGAAGAAGGCTCAAACTTGAGCCAAAAGTGAAAAGCAGGGTATAAATACTGTAATAAACAACAAACAAACTTTGTTCGGTGATGTGGTAGGATAGGGATAGGTTTCACCTCATTGTTTTAGGCTAGTAAATGTTATATTCTTGCCCATGGCTCATTTTATACTGATTGGATTCTTTTGTGTGTGTGGGGGGGGGGAATTCGTGTGTGTGTGTGTGTGTGAGCTTGCATGCCTGGAGGTCATGATGACTTTTGGTAACCCCAGTGGGGTCTTGGATGTTTCAGAGAGGGGGCTTGATTGCCTGCCTCCTTGTTCCCCTCCCTGGTATTCCTTGGAGGTCTCCCATCCAATTACTTGCCAGGGTCGGCCTTGCATATGTTCCGAAATCAAACAAGATGAGGCTTGCCTGGGCTATCCAGGTCAGGGCTATACTGATTTAATTCTTGTGGTGCCATTTTTATTTTCCTGTATTGTCTTGACTTTGTCAGCTGCCTGGAGCAGATCTAAATAAAAATAGAGAGTGGCATGTGTTCAGATTTGACGTCCTCCAAATTGTTAAAAGGAGCTGAACAAACTCCTAAAGTACTACAACGTTGTGAGGCGGAGTGGAATTGGAGTGGGAACAACCACAGAAATGTGGAGTGTATCTTATTCTCAGCTGGACAGCAGAGGGCACTGCAGGGCACCAAATACATCTGTCTAAGGCCTCCTAAGAGTGTCTGTGATCAGTATTGGCAGCACTACTTCTGTAGAAGTTGCAGTATACCCTCATGATATTTGAACACACTCACAGGGCAGGGACCGGTGTGGCCATGATTTCCTGGAGATCTGGGGGCAGTGCCTTCAGAGGCCTGAGTTGGAGGGGGGGCTCAGTAGGGATGTGATGTGATTCTCTAGGACTTCTGTTTCTCCTAGACTCAGTGGTATTCCATACCTTTGGAGAGCAGCAGGGGAAGGAACTGATCTTTGTAGTTTGGAGATCAATTGTAATTCTGAGGGAACCCAAGCCTCCTCTTTAAAGCTGATAATCCTAACTGCACACAGCCAAACATGACCCAGGAAATGTCACAGTGTGGTATAGTGGTTAGAGTGTTAGATTTTTGAGCTGGGAGCCTCAGGTTCAAATTCCCAATTAGCTATGAAGCTCACAAGGGGACCTTGAGCCAGTCACTCTAGCTCAGCACAATTTACCTCACAGGTTTGTTCTGAGGAGATAAAACGGAGGATGGGAGCACCGTATATGCTCCCCTGAAGTTCTTAGAGGAAGATGTGTCCAATAGATATGGGAAAGGGAACAGACCCACCGTGGCGCAACGGCCAAGAATGTGAGCTGAGAAATTCAGCTCTACCCTCAGAAATAAATTCAATAGATGCCTCAAACTAGCTAGCGTCCCCGCAGTCCCAGCCCCTCCCCCGTATTCGATATTTACTCCTCACCATTGCACCAACAGTGGCTAGCAATTTAAAAAAAATGCGTCAAAAGTTTTAAAAAGCAGGGGGGCACTGTTATTGGGCAATTAAATGTAAATGGGGAGGGTTGACACAGTTCATAAGAAGTACAAAGATGAAAAGTCTGTATGCAAAAAAGCTAGTTTGAGGATCTCCTCTCTTGGGTTTTTAGTCAGTAGTGGGTTCTTTACTTTTTCCCTTATATGTAGTTTTTCCCTTCCCCTTTTCTGTTGTAGTTTTTTTTAGTGTTAAAAAAATCAATAAAGGCCCTGTCCACACGAGGGGTTTTGGGCTAGGAGTGGGCCGGATCGGGGCCGGAGCAAACGGGCGCGATCCCACTGCAACATCTGGGCAGCATTGCGCACCCGTCCCCGATCCGGCCCTTCCCCCGATGAAACGCATCAAAAATGAACCACCTACCGAGGTGGTTCATCCACGACGGCTGCATCAACGCCGGCCGTGGGTTCGCCGCCTCGTCTTTCTGCCGGCGCATCCCCGGCTCCTGCCTGAACTGCGCATGCTCAGACATGCGCATTTCGGCAGTCTCCCGTTCCCCTCCATCGCTTCCCCTGGCATCTAATCGTGCCGGGGAGGGAATGCGCCGCGGCTCAGGGGATCAATGTGATCCCGCCGCGGCGTGTTTCTTTTGGTGCAGCTTTCAGAAGTCGCGCTTCAGCCCGTCCCTTTCCGCCCCATGTGGCAGGGGCCAAAAAATCCCCTCCGGGGGCTCAAAAAGAAAAGTTTTTAAAAGTTAAATGCAATACACATTGAACTAATAGTTAATCTATGAAATGAATCCCAAAGTAGCAGCAAACCTTATTTTTTAAAGAATCAACAAATTATATTAGCCTGTGGCAAGAAGAGCGGGAACCAAGTGAATGTCTCCAGGGGTGGCACTCTGTAGGATGCTGGGAGCTCCCACCGAGAAGGCCCCAACTATGTTCCCCGCCTTTCTAAGCTCTGATGGTGGGGACACCAAGAGCAGAGACCAGCAGGTAGGCAGATTCATATGGGACAAGGTGGCTTTTCATATACCCTAGTCCCAAACAGTTTAGGGCTTCAAAAACAAGCGCTAGCAATTTGACCTCTGCCCAAAATCCAACTGGAAGCCAGTGCAGACCAACTGGAAGTCCCAGTTAACCATCCAGCCATCTTCCAGACCAGGTGATAACTTCCCAAATACTTTTCAGGACAGCCCCCATATTATATGCCTTCTCGGTGCATTGTTGGGATAATAATCCTCCCTTTTAGGGCTGTACTAAAGAATATTGTGTAAATACTTGAAATACACCCGATAAACCCCCAGGATTACTATTTCTACCACCTCCCCAACAAGCTCTCGTGCCAACAGGGGGGAAAAGCCATGTGCAGACTACACAACTTGCACTGATCCAGTCATTATTCCCACCAGCCAGGGCAGAAGACTAACCCAAGCTCAATCCTCCCCTCTCAAGCACATCAGTTTGAAAACCTTTTTGACTAGAGATACAAAAATTCAAGCTCTGAAAAGCAATTCTCCATACAAAGCATATTTGGAAGCCCAAGATGAGCACAATGGTGAAGCCCCAGCAATTGTTCCGGTAGCCTGTATTCAAAGTAATATTTACATGCAATGTTAAGGAAAGGCACCCTCAGATTTGTTGAACAGGAAATAGGGCGGCCCCCTCACCCCCCTCAAGCCAGTTTGGTGTAGTGGTTAGGAGCCTGGACTCTCATGTGGGAGAACCGGGTTTGATTCCCCACTTCTCCACATCCAGCTGCTGGTGTGACCTTGGGTCAGTTACAAGTTCTTTCAGAGCTGTTCTCTCACGAGCAGTTCTCGAGAGAGGTCTCTCAGCCCCACCTACCTCACAGGGTGTCTGTTGTGGGGAGGGGAAGGGAAAGGAGATTGTAAGCCGCTCTGAGACTCCAAGTGAAGGGTGGGGTATAAATCCAATCTCTATCTCTCTCCTTACCCGTCACAGCTTTTGTGCTTGTCCTCTTGCTCGACTTGGTTCCCTTCAAGGCCCAGATGTAGATGACATACTCCATGCCCGGCTTCAGCCCAGTCAAGGTGGTGCTGGTCTTATCCTTCCCAATTGCGATCTCTTTGGTTTCCCCGTCAGCAGAGGTATAGCTCAGTATGTATCGGTCTATGGCGGCCAAGGGCTTCTTCCAGGAGATGGTGGCTGAGTTCTCAGTTGTTTGGTCTGTCATCAGGTTCGTAGGGCTATCAATTTCTGGGAACCCAAAGTATAAGTATAGCCATTATATTCTTTCTGCATTGGCGGAGTCTACCTAAGCTCACTGAGACTTCCAGTTTTCTGACTGTAACTAAATCAGCTCTGTTAATTGGCACGTCTTGGCTGAACACAGATGCCATCAACACGGGTAGACATGCCAGCAGGTTTCAGCAACAGTGGTCCTTTCCACATTTGAGTCAGACATCGCTCTTGCTTCTGTGTACCTCAATCTAGGATGGGGCTGTGGCTCAGTGGCAAGGCATCTGCTTCACACACAGAAGGTCCCAGGTTCAATCCCTGGCATCTCAAGAGCCAGTTTGGTGTAGTGGTTAAGTGCGCGGACTCTAAACTGGGAGAACCGGGTTTGATTCCCAACTCCTCCACTTGCACCTGCTGATGTGACCTTGGGTCAGTCACAAGCTCTGGCACAGCTGTCCTTGAAAAAGAGCAGTTTGTGTCAGAGTTCTCTCAGCCCCACCCACCTCACAGGGTGTCTGTTGTGGGGAGGGGAAGGGAAAGGAGTTTGTAAGCCACTCTGAGACTCCTTTGGGTAGTGAAGGGCGGGGTATAAATCCAATCTCTTCTCTTCTTCTTCTAAAAAGGGTCAACTAGTAGGTGATGAGATATACCTGATAACCTGGAGAGCGACTGCCAGTCAGAGTAGACAATAAGGACCTTGACAGATGAAGAGCCTGTCTCAGAATAAGGCAGCTTCATGTGAGGGTTTGAAAGGACTACTGAATATGAAAATACTGGCATATAAGCAGATGGTCTCCTTTCATACTACGAGGCTCCTCCTAACTCATTACTAGGGGTTCATGAGTTTAGTATCACCCCATTCCTTGTCATGTTTATTCATATTTATGGTGCGCCTTGTTGCTATTGGAGCAGTTTTAAAAAAGCTGTGGTCAACCAAGTAGCCAAATATTATTTTAAGTACTGAAATAATTCCTTCTTTAAAACAGTAGCAAATCATGTTTATGACCAACGCTATCCAAGTCCTGACACTTGTATCTTGTTTAGGGTTGCTACCCTTTTTCTGACACATGTGCAGGGTGCTCCAACCAGTACACTGTGCAGCTAGTTCTCAACATGGGGGGGGGGGGGGGGTTTACGTCACTAAACAATTATTTTACTTAGAGAGAAAGCCTTTAATGGCTCCAGTTCAATGTAATATGACCTTGTATTTATCCCTTTTGTGTCATAGGCAATGTTCCCTCTAAGCTGAGTTCATGTGAGCTAGCTCACAGTTTTTTAGCCTCTGGCTCACACATTTTTGTCTTAGCTCAGGAGGGATGGCCCCAGAGCAAACTACTTTATGCAGTAGCCAAATCACCTGCTCACAACTTTAATGCCAGTAGCTCACAAAGTAGAATTTTTGCTCACAAGACTCCACAGCTTAGAGGGAACGTTGGTCATAGGATATTATAGCATTGGGAAAAGTGCAGAAAAGGGCAACTAGAATGATAAAAGGGTTGGAATACTTTCACTATGAAGAAAGGTTAAAGTGCTTGGGGCTCTTTAGCTTGGAGAAACGACGGCTGAGGGGTGATATGATCGAGGTTTATAAGACTGCATGGGATAGAGCTGAGAGAAAAAAGTACTTTTCTCCCTTTCTCACAATACAAGAACTCATGAGCACTCCATGAAGTTGCTGAGCAGTCAGGTTAGAACAAATAAAAGGAAGTACTTCTTCACCCAGAGAGTGATTAACACATGGAATTCAGTGCCACAGGAGGTGGTGGCGGCTACAAGCATGGACAGCTTTAAGAGGGAATTAGATAAGCGTATGGAGCAGAGGTCCATCGGTGGCTATTAGCAACAAGGTATAGATAGGAACTCACAGGCTGGGGCAAGTGATGCACTGTATTCTTGGTGCTTGGGAGGGGGCAACAGTGGGAGGGCTTCTAGTGTCCTGGCCCCACTGGTGGACCTCCTGATGGCACCTGGTATTTTTGGCCACTGTGTGACAGAGTGTTGGACTGGATGGGCCATTGGCGTGATCCAACATTGGCTTCTCTTATGTTCTCTTATGGTCTTATGACATATGTTGTACAAACATTGGAAATAAAACACAGGAGGAAAAGAGCTGAGTCACCTTGGATTTTAGGAGAAAGGTGGGATAGGCACACTTTTAATAAATAAAAAAGTAAAATAAAGCCACCGAGATAGCACAAGATTTAGTAGAATCCAGTCTATGCTACCTGTTAGAGCTTTACTGCTCGCCTTCCGGCTTTGCTGGGCTCCCTTCACAGCCCAGATGTAGATGGTGTATTCCATGCCCGGCTTCAGTCCCATTAAGGTAGTGGTTGTCTTGTCCTTCCCAACAGACATCTCCTTGGTGTCCCCATCAGCTGAAGTATAGGCCATGACATATCTCTCTATGGGAGCCTGGGCCCCACGCCAAAATATGGTGGCTGTGTCTTCTGTTACCTGGTTGGTAACCAGATCAGTCGGGCCATCAATTTCTGCAAGGAGGGAAAGAAATGTTGCTTACAATAATGATTCAGACAAGATTTCCCCAGACCTCCAAGTTATCCCCCTTCAGAATCTGCGCAAAGCATTACTGTGCCTGAGGGTGGGAATTCAAAACAGCCCCCTCCTTCCAGGAACCAACAGGGTGCACAAGCCTTATAGGAAATTAACAGCAGCTGTGGGAAAGTGCTATCTGGAGCCAGTGCAGGCAAACATCCCAGTGGGTTGTACCCTGGGGTCAGTCCTGGGCATCTCTCCTTCTTTCAGTCATTTCAATGGCATTCAAAAGCCACCTCTTGGGGTTGCTGTATCACCTTTATCTCACAGTAAATCTTCTGGATTTAACATGACTGGGTGGGTGGATGGATGGGTGGGTGGATGGATGGGTAGATGAACAGATAGGTGGGCAAATGGATCCATGGATGGATGGATGGATGGATGGATGGATGGATGGATGGATGGATGGGTGGATGAATGGATCTATGAGTCGATGGATGAATGGGCATGATAGCAAGCATGCCCAAGCATAGTCAAGTATCCTGGACTATGCATCATTCTGTGAACTGGAACCCTCACCATGTGTGCACCGAGTGATTCAGCAGCCTCAAGGCAACTGAGAGGCTGACAGACCGAGCCAAAAAGAGGAAACAAGTTTGTCTACGGTCCACCAGCCTTACGTGAGATGAGGTTGAGGGAATGCATCTGCAAGTTTGCAGGAAAGCATTTAGGGAAACAGAGGGTAGAAGAAGACAACAGCAAAGGTACATAAAACTTCATGAAGCAAGAATTGCAGGTGAACATGATCATTTTCTCCATCGAATTTAGAAGAGGAAGAGGAGATTGGATTTATACCCAGCCCTTCACTACCCAAAGGAGTCTCAGAGCAGCTTACAAACTCCTTTCCCGTCCCCTCCCCACAACAGACACCCGGTGAGGTAGGTGGGGCTGAGAGAGCTCTTGACACAAACTGCTCTTTTTCAAGGACAGCTCTTATCAAAGCTACGGCTTGCCCAAGGTCATCCAGCCAGGTGTAAGTGGAGGAGTGGGGAATCAAACCCGGTTCTCCCAGATTAGAGTCCGCGCACTTAACCACTACACCAAACTGGCTCTCTTTTATAGCTACAGAGCTACAGCTGCTTTTCCAGAATTTAATGGATATGGTTATCTGTTCTTTATTAACCTCATCTTTGTAAATAGTTTCAGAGGGTGGCCGTGTTGATCTGTAGTAGAACAGCTAGGTCCAAGTCCAGGAGCACCTTAGAGGCCAACAACAGTTTCAGGGTATCAGCTTTTGAGAGTCAAGGCTCCCTTCATCAGATCTGAGTTGGCATGGAGATCTCCAAGACCTTGTACCCCAGTCAGAAGGTGGAAGGGGTGTTGCAAATCATCAGGAACGCAGGATGCAATGCGGAGGTACAATGCATATTGTAGTCAGCTTGATCAGAGCAGGGGGGAAATGCCCCAAACTGTAATCAAGCTGATTAAAGTGTGTGTTGTACCTCCACAACCTGAGTTCCTTCTTTACAACACCCCCTCCCAACCTTCTCAATGGGACGTAAGGACTCCGAGGTCTCCATTTCAACTCATATCTGACAAAGGGAGCTTTGACTCCCAAAATATACCTCCAAAATCTGTAAGGTGCTACTGGACTGAAATCTAGCTCATCTTTGTACATTTATTATCAGGGCATTCTTAAGCAGAGTCACACCCTTGGGGTTTCCACAAGCCCTGCCTCTGGCCATCTCTGTGGCTGTAAGATATTAACTGGTCCACATTACAATGAACTCCTTTTGCCTTATTTAAAGAGTAGGACTGTAGCTTCCCAGTAGATTCAGATTCAGTCTGATTTGCTGCTCAGTGAATTTGCTGTTGTGAGGTACATTCCTGTGCTACTTCTTTTATGCTTGGACCTAAGTGCTTGAGGGACCACAAGGGCTGGCGTCTCCTCCTCCTCTCAGCCCCTTGGAAGGACAGTGGTAGTTTTTGTGAATTTTAATCAGGATTTACTTTGGAGTGTAAGGTTATAAACCCAATTTGAACAAACAAATAAACACAGCTAAGCTTCAGGTCTCCCACAGTGGGTTCTGTATTTTTCTTTCCCCTCTCAGGTCTCATGGTAGAACTGAGTCTGTGCCCTTGGCTAGAAGTGTTTAAGTCCCAGTGCAGTTTTTCTTCCCTATAGCTGCAACCAGAAGCCACGCCCTTTTAGACTTGCAGTTTTGATCATTCCATGGGTTGGAAAAAAGAGGTTCTGGTGATGGCAGTCTTGGACACAAAAAGCATAGATCATTTTCACAACATCAGGGTGGTAAAATGCTGCTGAATTCGGGCCAAAAGAACAGAAGCTGGGATTTTCAAAGAGAGCCAAGTGTTACAACATGTAGAACAAGCAGAGGATTTGGCGTGTTTAGGCATGATGGACAAATCCAGGAAGTTAGAGAACGAAGAGGTGGTGAAGGACCAATGAGAAGGAGCAGAAGCCCAGATCTGGTGAAGGTACAGAAAGATGGGATCAGGAGCAGAGGAGCAAGATGGGTCTAGGTGAACAGCAACAAGCAAACTTGGAGAACTTATGCGGCAATAACCACGGAAGAAGATACCCAGACATGGAAGAATATACTCAGAAGTGCTATCTTGTGTTTATAGGATAAACAGCACACAGACTATTGCCAGAGAATAAGTGCATGGGCTGTTTCTCGGGTCACAGTGGTGAGACCAAGAGTGCCTGAAATAGCCCATCCTTGGCAGCCGAACATGGATCTTCAGGCAGGACCACCAGCTGAGTAAGGAAGGTTCCAACAACATCAAGACTGCACAGCAGAGCGCTGAAGTCTCCAGAGTCATTGACGAGAGCCACCAGCCCAAAGCCGGTGTTCATCTGTAATGACAGTTCCTTCCAAGTGAAGCTCCAGAAACAGAGAAGCAGAGAAGAGTAGTGATTTCACCTCCACGGCTAGGAGGTCATGCAAGAGGTGGTTCAAAGTCATCCTTGGATGGCATACATAGGAGCTTAACAGGTAAGCTGCCCCTATGGGAGGATGGTTTGAGTTTACCAACACATGCTCATCAGCTTGCAGTTGATGAACAGTGAGCCTCTTGCCTGGCAGGTTACCTGTCACAACTTTAGTCTTTGCCCTCTGGCTCTGCTGTTTCCCATTCTCAGCCCAGACATAGATGACATACTCCTTGCCTGGACTCAGACCCGTCAGGGTGGTACTGCTCTTGTCTCTGCCTATAGATACATCTTGGGTGTCTCCGTCTGCAGAGGTACATCGTGCTGAGTATCTATCTATAAGAGCTTGGACCTTGTCCCAGGAGATCGTAGCTGTATCCTCTGTTACTCGCTTGGTCGTTAGATTTTTGGGGATGTCAATTTCTTTGAGAGATTAATAAGAGGAAGAGTTACAGGTAAGGCTGTTCCGTACTCTATGCGCCTCCCTTCTCCATTCAAGCTCTGTACCAAGGAAATTCAGATTCTGAAACACGGTAATTTGAATTCTGTGTTCAAAAACGTCATGCAAAAAAATACAATTCACGTCAATTTGCCTATTTACATATATGTACTCAATTTGCATTTTTTTTTGTTGAACCGTACTGATTGTTGAGGTTTGGGAGGGGGGGAGATTTGAAATATCGTTTGCAAAAAGGAAGGCCTAAAAAAATGCCTGCAAGAAGGTATATGTAGGAAGTTGAGGGCTATGAAGGAATGAGGAGGAGGAAGCGCCATTGCCTCCATGATGGAGCCTTAAAGCAAATAAGGCGTGCAGCATTTCCAAGCATTCCTCCTTAAACACGAGTCCAACTAAAGAGATCTGTACAACTGATCAGGCTTCTGTATATATTTCACCTGCTAGATCAGGAACTGTGGAAATAAACCAGGTGTACATGCCTGGATAGCCCAGGCTAGTCTGATCTAGTCTGATCTGGTCTGGAGGGAGAGGTATTTTTGAATTTCCTGCATGGTTGGACTAGATGACCCTGGAGATCCCTTCCAACTCTATGATCTTGTCAGATCTCAGAAGCTAAGCAGGGTGGGCCCTGGCTAGTATTTGGAAGGAAGACCAGGGCTGCTATGCGGAGGCAAACCACCTCTGAACGTTTCATGCTTTGAAAGCCCTATGGGATTGCCATAAATCAGCTGTGACTTGACAGCACTTTCAACCACCACCAAATGCCCTGGCCAAGATAGCCCAGGCTAGCCCAATCGTATCAGATCTCAGAAGCTAAGCAGGGTTGGTCCTGGTCAGTATTTGGATGGGAGACCAATAACAAAGTCCAGGTTCACAACACAGAGCCAGGCAATGGCCAACCAGCTGTGGAACATCTCTTGCCTTGAAAACCCTACAGGGTGGCCATCAGTGCCCTGCGACTTGACAGCAAAAAAGAAAAGCCAAAATACGCATCTGAGGGTGGATGCCAGCCAATGTTCCCTCTAAGCCGTGGAGTCTTGTGAGCAAAAATTCTACTTGGTGAGCGACTGGCATTAAAGCTGTGAGCGAGCCATTGGGCTGCTGCATAAATTACTTTGCTCTGGAGCCCTCCTTCCTGAACCGAGACAAAGATGCGTGAGCCGGAGGCTAAAAAAACTGTGAGCTAGCTCACACTAACTCAGCTTAGAGGGAACACTGGATGCCACCTATCTGTACGACACTGCATTCAATGAGCTGCACATTAACATCCTCTTCCACATTCTGGTGTGAAGGATCACACATAAATACTACACATAAACAAGGGCTGGATGGGGTGAGGGAACAGAAGCCTGCTTTTCAAAAATACCAACAACAACAATAAAGCCAGGACTGTTTTGATGTTGCAATTCTTGTGACAAATCCCATGCAATATTCAGCACACAGAAGGGATGACCCCAAACTAAACTACTTTTACCCATAACTTTTACCCCATTGCAGGAAATCAAGCTGGTGACCCAGAGGGAAATTTGGGCTTATAGAATCACAGAGTTGGAAGGGGCCATCCAGGCCATCTAGTCCAACCCCCTGCTCAGTGCAGGATCAGCCTAGAGCATCCCTGACAAGCCTTTGTCCAGCCGCTGCTTAAAGACTGCCAGTGAGGGGGGAGCTCACCACCTCCCTAGGCAGCTGATTCCACTGTTGCACAAATGTTTGCAGCATTTGAAAAGTATCATCTTAATTTTCCAAACCTGAAGGAAAAAGAGGTTACTTCTCTTCTCTAAGCACCTGTTTACCCTTACCTTCCCTCCCCCAAAGAGCAATAACATCTGATTCTGTTTACAGGATATCTTCCCTAGTAATCCCTAGCTTTGTTTGGCCAAGTGCTGTTGTTATTCTTCATTTGCACCCATTTCCAGGTGATCCTGGATCCTATTCCAGTAAGTAAGGAGGCTATTTGACCTTACAGATACTATTTTTGCTCAGGTGGGTCAAAGTAGTATCTTTGAATCCTGAAACCATCTCCATTTTCTTGTCAGTGCTTAACTTTGCACGCTTAACTATATTAGAATTCATATCACGCTAGCCCTGTGGAAATATGAAAGCTACAATCACAGGAGAACTTCTCCTGGTAGCTCCAGCAATAAATCAGTCATAAAAGCAAGAGTTAGCAAAATTGCAAATAATTACTTGGATCCATATTTCACTATAAATGCCGCATGGGAACTGTTTCCCTGGGACTAGCTTCCATGCAGCTGGACAACATCTACATGGGGTCCAACTGCACGGGTCTTTCCCAGTGAATCCAATAACACCATCTGTCTTCATAGAGTGCCAAGTGTGCAACCAGAACCATGCCACTGGGTCCCTAAACTCAACCGTTATAACCACTATTCCAGAGATGGACGTGACAAAGTGGCTTCAATGTGATAGTTAAAGGGCCTTTATGCCATCAAAATAAGAAGGAACTTTGCAGAATTGCTATATGATCCCTACGACAAGCACCACAGATTCTCCTCAGCCCATCATTTCTAGTAGTGGTGGTGGTGGTAGAAAGTGCCATCAAGTCACAGCTAATTCATGGCAACCCCTCAAGAGATTTTCAAGGCAAGAGACAAACAGAGGTGGCTTGCTGTTGCCTGCCTCTGCCTTGTGACCCTGGACTTCCTTGGTGGTCTCCCACTGGAGTACTAACCAGGGCCAACCCTGCTTAGTTTTCAATCTAACTAGGCTAGGCTAGGCTGGGCCATTCAAGGCAGGGCATTGTTCCCTGGCCTCCCTCAGCCCCGGGGCGGCGCGCTTTAATTCCTCATGCTAAAATCCGCCCCTCCTGGGGGGAGAGCCGCGAGGGGTTGTTTTTGCTCCTGCAGGGCTGGGAAGGAGCTCTTTAAACGCATATGGCGGCCGGCTGCGCCACAGCCAGTCGCACGCCGCCGCCAGTCACCCGTTCATTCACACAGGAAACATTCCCTGGCCTCCCTCAGCCCCGGGGCGGTGTGCTTTAATTCCTCCTGCCAAAAGAGCAGCCTTGCTGCTCGGGGGAGAGCCGCAAGGGGTTGTTTTTGCTCCTGCAGGACTTGGAAGGGCCTCTGTAAGCGCATAAGGCGGCTGGCTGCACCGCCACTAGTCGCCCGTTCATTCACACGGGGAAACTTTCCCTGGCCTAGGAGGCTGAAGTTGTGGCCTAGGAGGCTGAAGTTGGTTCCTTATTCGCACTTCTTTATTCATTCCTTATTCGTTACTTATTCGTGTTGGTTCCTTATTCGCACTTCCTTATTCATTCCTTATTCGTTACTTATTCGTGTAGTCATTCAGAAACACTAGGGAGAGTGAGTTGGAAAGCTCTGAACCCCAAAATAATGTCTGGACCGCCACATATCATATACCCCCACATTCACAGGACTCTCCCCTTCGAGGGGACATATGCGGTGTGCTGGTCCAAAGCGCGGTTCCGGTGCCAGCTGCTCCAAAGTGCAGTGCCCCCAGGACATTCACACAAGCAGACACTGGGGCCAGGCTGCACCCCACAATAATCTTTGGACCACCCCAAATGACACATCCCCACGCTCTGGGGACTGGGCCCTGCAAGGTGACATACAGTGATGCCCGGTCCAAACACCGGTTCTGATGCCACGAGCTTCAGTTGCACCAGCTTCAGTTCGCAGGGCTTCCCCGAGGTCTGTATTTCAAAGGAGATTTGAATAAGGAAGTGCCCCCTGCACCCAAAATAAGGTCTGGACCACCAGATATCATACACCCCCACATTCACAGGACTCTCCCCGTCGAGGGGACATATGCGGTGTGCTGGTCCAAAGCACGGTTCCGGTGCCAGCTGCTCCAAAGTGCAGTGCCACCAGGACAGTCACACAAGCAGGCACTGGGGCCAGGCTGCACCCAACAATAATCTTTGGACCACCCCAAATGACACATCCCCACGCTCTGGGGACTGGGCCCTGCAAAGTGACATACAATGATGCCCGGTCCAAACACCGGTTCTGATGCCACGAGCTTCTGTCCAGACCTTATTTTGGGTGCAGGGGGCACTTCCTTATTCAAAT